CTCGACAACTTATTACTACGAGGGCTGCCAAAATTGAAAACATGCAACGCATTGTTTTTATTTATCGATGGCTCCGTGGCGCAGTGGATTAGCAATGAGTTGTTGCGCTGGGGGCCGGGGGTTCGAATCCCGCACGGAACAAATATTTGTATGCCCTACAAATCATTGTTTCGGGTCTGGATGTTTGTCTTCGTGCAATTTATGTCTGTAAGCTGCCTCCACGATACAGGAGAAAATCCAAGTGTGGGGGTAACGTTTTTAAAAAAGATTAAAAAATATGGATGATGAATTTTAAGGAAATTTTTTATATGGTCTGATAATAAATGCATGTTTGGTTTTCGTTTTGTTTCTTTCTGATCCGATCATTGCGACTTGTGAGACAGAAAACATCAGACACAATCGAAATGAAAGTAGTTGGAAGCCCACTAAAATACAAAAATTTGTTCTTTAAATTTTTTTATAGAATACGGTGACATACGAACACACGGTCCACCTGATTGTAAGTGGATGCTGTGACCCATATACATCTATTACTATCCTCAATAAAGAGATGCGTTGTCATCCGTGAGGACTGTTTAAAACCTACCAAAATTAAAATTTTCTTGTGTTTTTCGTATTGTAGCTTACATTATACACGCAGTGAGGTGCGGTACACCATTACTCGACGATTATTAAAAAAAAATTGTTAAAAACAAACTGAATAATAGATACTAAATACGGTCAATCGTTCGTCGAACAGTCGTGTGTCTGGGTGTATATCGAACTTGCATTAGTCATATAATTATAACGTCTCTATACAGTTACAAAGAAAAATATGATGCAATCACATTTATTTGGTTCATAAAAGTATCTCAATTGGCTAGATAGGCAAATATCCTATTCAAATATATTTTGAATTTAGCCGGCTACACTTCGATAATAGAATTCAAACAAACTTATTCTCACATTTGTGTGAGTCATACGTTACGTTGTAACTATTAGTCCAATATAGTTTCAACTTCCCTACTTGTGGGGAAAATTTAATGTATTGACCACATTATTTCTTCACATGTGTGCGTTTCGTTTAGCGTAAACACAAGTTGATAACGCACCCATAGATTTTGTTCTTGCCCCACTTTTGAACGTCCGCTTTGTAGGGAACTATCGTTCTAGGTGTTATTATTCTAAGGCCACTACACAGTATAACACATATCTTTGAATTATTTGCTTATTAGGATTCCTTACGATGTTTTCTTTTGGTATGTATGGTTCAGCTGTCCGCTGCTAGATAGCGCTTGTAATCGCATATGTCGACAATGCTTTTTCTTGATTACTTTGTCCTATTTATGTAATAAACTATATAAGAAGTAATTTTTTAACCTATTAGAAATGACCTCCGGATAAAAAAATATCCGGATTTGTCTAACAACGCATATAAAGCTTGATCGTACCTCGATCGTATTTTTCGATTCGAATTGGTCGGTATATAGGCTTTTAAAATTAGTTTCGAAAAAACGTCATTTTGAATTGGATTCGAAAACAATTTTTTTTATAGGATAAGGGTGACAAACGAGCACACAGTCCACCTGATGGTAAGTGGTTGCTGTGGCCCATAGACATCTACATTTATACAACTATACCAGAAATATAGCTGCAGCATGGCTCTACCACGTATAAAATAAATTTCATGAGTTAGCTCTAAGGCATGTTCGCGGAAGCGTGCGTGGTTTCCACACCATAATGCGAAGAAGTTCACTTTTCTTCTTCATGGAGAGGACGATATCCTGAACGCGATTGTATTAGGTCTTGAAGTAGGTACTGACTGTCCTGTACTGAAACACTGGGTATGTTACACGTGTAGTAGCGCGATATTTAAATAAAATGTGTGTGTACTTATGTACATACGTAGGCAGTTATACTTCTTTAACGTAAGAAAACAAAAAAACTTGAGAGACAATTACCCACTGAAGTTGTCGCTTTTAGGTGTCAGTGTGCGCGCGCATCGTAACAACTTTATGGTGTCGTTTTTAGGTGTCGGTGTGCGTGCGTAAAAATTCACTCTCATCAGTTTTCCCAAACACCCTAAAAGAAGTATAACTTCAAAAATATCTCTTAAATTTTATCTCTTTATATTAATCTTCTCTCTTTAAAATAATCTATTATATCTCTTAAATATGGTTTTAAGTTTTTTATTAACCAAATATCTGGTCCGAAATAAAGACTAATTTATTCATTAATTTAAGGAAATTATTTTAATTTACTTTCCAAATATAGAATAAATAGGTAAAATTCAACGAGCCCCTTCTTTGGTGATTTATTTTTTCTGTTACATTATTTAGCCCATGCACCTCTAGATGGTAAATCACACTATCTTGGCGTAACAAAAACGTATTAACTCTCGCCTTGGAGATGCTTAGATTGTATTCGGACGAAAATATAGACGCTGGAAAATTATTTCACTCCTTTGATGTATTGCATTACGAAAGATGAAGCACACCGTTAAGTTCGAATGCGTGGAATATAGACAACAAAAGAAGGAAGACTGTTCGACCGATTGGTTGTCCGATGGTGGAAATAGGAGGGAGGAAATAAAGCATGTAATTCCTTTTTTTTTATAGGAGAGGCGGCAAACGAGCATGCGGCTCACCTGATGGTAAGTGACTACCGTCGCCCATGAACAATTGCAACACCAGGGAACCAGAGGAATTGCAGATAGATGCGTTGCCGGCCTTTTAAAACGAAGTAGGCTCTTTTCTTGAATGTCCTTAAGTCGTATCTGTCCGGAAAAATTGCTGATGGTAATCGATTCCACAAGGAAGTCGTGCGAGGAAGAAAACATCTTCTAAATCGCACAGTGGTGAACCGCCAAGCATCCAGATGGTGTGGATGGTATCGGGAGTTCTGCCGCAAAGTGCGTTCGTGAAATTTAGCGGCTGGGATTAATCTGAACAATTCCTCAGAGCACTCCCCGTGGTAGATGCGAAAGAAAATGCAAAGGGATGCAACATCTTGTTTGTCACTTGTTGTAAAAAAGAAACCTTTCAAAAATCTTTGAATTATGCTCTACGTCGTGCACCTTCCTAGGACAACTAAGGCAATCAACAAATGGCAGTATAGATATTGGAAGATGCCGATCTCTTATCCCACAGAATAATGATGGAGAGCATCATTCACGTTAAAAGGTTACCTATTTTAATATTAACGCAGCATCCATCTAAGTCCCGTAGGTTGGCTACGCATCTGCATTTTGATTATAAGGAAATAAAATCTCTATTTGTCGAGGCAACAGCTAACCTTTGTATGTGGTTTTTGTTGTGGCGGTTTGTCACCGATACTTCTATAAAAAATCAGCTCTGCGGTCAATTTTTTGACAGCTCCGTGACGCTTAACATTGAGTTGCAGCGCTGAAGGTTGCAGATTTGAATTCCGCACGGAACAAGTATTTGTATGGCCTTCAAATAATATTTCCTGGTCTAATGTTAGTCCTTGTGTAATTTATGTATCTAAACTGCCTCCACCATACAGGACAAAATCTTAGTGATCATCTCTAAAACCAGTTAACAGCGGCTCCCCCGCTATACCTGTTTGGCTGGTTTGAAGCTATAAGCAAGAATTATTCCCAAGCTCGCACTCTTCATTGTTTCTCGATTATTTTTTATGCCTTCGGATAACGCTCAGTGTAGCGACATTCAGCTGACGGTGTGTGAATTGTGCGTGTGTAATTTATGTATCTAAACTGCCTCCACCATACAAGAGAAAATCTTAGTGATCACCTGTAAAACCAGCTAACAGCGGCTCTCCCGCTGTACCTGTTTAGCTGGTTTGAAGCTATAAGCAAGAATTATTCATAAGCTGGCACTCTTCATCAGCGTAGCGGCATTCAGCTGACGGTGTGTGAATAAACGCTCTTGTATTGCGTGCGGGTACCGGTCGATTAGAATATATTTAAAAAAAATTGAATGTGATCTTTCTTACTAAAATATAGAAAATATTCTTTATAATGACTTTTATAAACTTTTATTAGGCAATACATTTTTTTCGTTACAAAGAAAATTTGTTTATAACTAATTACACTAAACTCAAATTCTGCAAACTGGCAAAAAGGAGCGGCATTATTGTTATATATTATAGCAACTATGAGGCTATTTAATATGGGGAAATCTTCAAAAAAAAGCATCATTGGGAGCTTCTTTAGAAAGGCCTGTATCCAGCAGTAGATTCAATAGCTATATGTTGAGAGAAAATAATTAAAAGAAAACTTCGCAAAATAAAGAAATAATTTTCGAGTCATATTTTTAAACAAAAATAAAACATAACAAGCAGTTTTTACTAATTTTATTAAAAATAAGTTCATCTTAAAAGGACGGTCAAATTCTACTTATTTACATAAATGCTTAATGATTTCATCAATTCAAATTCAATGTTTCGAACATTCATAATGCATCACAAATTTCAAGTTCTATATTTTGTAAAGCAAAGCATTACACGACCGACTTCAGAAATTACGAGTTAGTGTAACAATTATAATATATAAAACAGTGACATTAAATCTTTGACAGTTCTTCTTTCATTTCATTTATCTTCTGTAATAAATATATAAAAAATATAATTTATAATAACAAAAACGTATGTTTATATTGTAACAGAGTAACTTGTAACAAAGCTTCATAAATAAAAATTGTAAACAGGTACCTTAAATAACATCATCATTTAATATCTTTTGGTAACGATGTCTGCTTAAAATGTGTAAACCTTGAGAACTAATTACACCGTTCTCTTGTGAATCTTAAAAAAATATCTTAAATATATTTTTATATCTAAATATTATAACAAAGCAAAAATAACAGTAGTATTGGACGGTTTACTAATTAATTTAAAGGCTGTTTTCAATTTTATATCAGATTTTGGCACTCCCAAATATTTTATCAGACTGACAGAGCGTTATACGAAGCTTTTTGCTTGGTGCGTATTGCTGAAAGCGAACCGACAACATTTATTTCTGCTTTGTTAAATGTTTAGTATTATTGCTTGTAGAACAAATATGAAGCAACGAGAGCTAAAGCAGCCAATGGGAAAGAGGCAATAATGGAGCTGGCCCCGTTACAGTCGTCTTTGTCACAAACGCTGCAATGCTTGATTTGCTTAGCAGGATCCATGGGGAACATTTTCGCAGTATTGTCCAGTAGACGGCATGTTTGGTTTAGGTCGGTTGGGTTTGCGTCCAAACAGGTACGGATCGTGGCACCATTTTCTGTTGAATAATAAGAATTTTATTTAAATATAGATTTTCCGTTTTTCCTAATGATGAGTTGTGCGCAATAGTAAACAAATAATAAAGGAACCTCTTGTATTCTTGGAGATACAGAACTCAGTGTGTAGTAATTTTAATAAAACCCTTAGTAATAAATAATGACTTCATTATTGATATTTTAAATTTTCAACATCGATGTACCTATCTAATGGCGAAATCTTAACTTTGGTTTAATTCCCTTATTACGACATAATAAGGAAGGCTACGTTCTTCTCTAAAATTCCAACCTCAGCTGAAACCGGTGCACCACCATAGGGTGACTTTGGTGATCAACTGATGACATAAAATTCTTTCAAAACCACTGAACAAAATCCAGTCCGGTGCAAACATGACGAGTATGGGAAAATCGTCCGAGTAATGGTCGCCAGCTCAGCAGTCGACGTTTTAGAAAGTGTGTGACCCAACAGTGGATTAAGAAAGCCTGATAATGTAATGTGATGCTACAGTAGGCCCGAAGTGCGAGTCCGATATAACCTGTCCTTACTCCAACGACGTATGCGTCGGTCCTTCGTCGGAGCATTTCTGCACATATTTATGAACAAATTTCATAAAATAAAAACTAATTAAAATCAGATTTTGTAACATAATTTACGGTACACGAAAACATAAAGCTGAGTTTATGAGTACAAAAATTACGCTAACGTGTTGACAAAGTCAATTTAAAGATATATCAGGAAAGTGTCTCACAGAATACCAGCGTAAAATAGCAGCTTAATACTGCTGTGTTTTGTATGGTGAGTGTAGAGAACCGGAGACCCTTTTTACTGGAAATGAGGCATTCTATGTTAGTCCTCACGGGTGACAACGCTTATGCATTTTGATTTGTAATAGAGTATAGATGTAGATGTCTATGGGCTGCAGCAAGTACTTAGCATCAGGTGGACTGTGTGCTCGTTTTTCACCTTATCCTATAAAAAAGTGTCTTCTATTTTGTCCATCTCTACCAAGCTCTTTAGTGGATAAGTAGTGTAGTATGTGTTGACATGAAAGCAAATATTTTAGGGTTAAAATATTTGCTTTCATCAGTTTATATCATATGATTGTTCTGATATTTTTCTTTATCTGCTCTTTGCCGGCTTATGGCGGTAAGGGATTTCGCGATGAATTTTCACGTCACTATTCTACGAACATCGTAATATATGGTAGGACTCTTTTTCTGCCAATAAGTCCGTCTATATTATTTCTGCCGGCAAGGAGGAATTCACCCACTACAAACCATAATTTCACTTATATATTAAATACAATTAATACATAAGTGAAGTTATGGTTTGTACTAGTGTAATTAAAGCTTGTGAGGGATTCCATCTTAATTCTCTAGAGTGACTAATTTGTTATTCAGATTAGTGTTTGCAGGTCCTATCACGCCAATTTACTAAGAAAAAAAAAAGACGAAATAAACAAATAAAAATAATTTATTCGACAGAGATTTGCTTTAGAGTGGCAGCATAAACAATTCGGCGGTAAAACGATCCGCCATATTACTTAACTTGCTTGACCGGTTTTCTATTTGGCTGTTATGGGAGTGGCGCCGTATCACATATTATAAAGAAGCTATTTATGTTAACTGTGATAGTATGGAGGATTTATATTTTTAAACGATTCAACGATGGCTAGACAGTTTAAGTTCTATCAGGCAGTCAAAATTATTTCATTTCGACAACAAAAACTGACGATAAAATCGTAACATGTTGAAAGCTAGGGAGCGTTCCAGGTTTCTTGATTCCATTAGTCGAATTTTACGATTGCAACGGGACATGATGCGGTGCTCGGTGGATTCTTTCGTAGCAAACACATAGTACATTTTAACAATGGAAACATATAATAAGTTATGTATTGTAGTATTCAAGGTATCTTAAAAATAGTACTAACGCATAACAATCTTGTGGCAATATCTGGGCGCTCCAGCAACGGCGTCAACTAGTTCATTGGGCAATACACCGCGAAGGTAGGCACGATTGTAGTTCACGGAGTCCTGGGTAGAGCAGTCCTGGAATGAAAGAAAGAAAAATTGGTTAATTTCGTTTTCATTAATTTTTACAGATATGTTACGAATATAGGTTTTCCAAACATTATTTAAACAACTTATATATTGTGATCTAAAATAAAGCACACTTCACGTAAAAGCAGACCTCTAAAATAAAAAGGAACTTTTAGATTCTTACTTTTTTTATAGAATAAGGGTGACAAACGGGCAAACAGTCCATCTGATGGTAAGCGAATGCTGTGGTTCATAGACATCTACACATATTCTTAGTTAATAATCAAAATGCAAACGCGTTGTCATGCCTCAGGACTGAGATGGTTTCCAGTAGAAAGGGTCTCCGATCCTCTACACTCACCATACGAAATACAGAAATAATAAGCTGCTGTTTTACGATTGTATTCTGTGTGTGCGTGGTCCTTCCCCGGTCAAGCCAACCAATTCGTGCTACAACTATTCTATAACTGCAGCATGGCTCTACGACGTTTTTTTTTATACTTACTTTGATCTTATGATTATCAGTCTGTAAAAGATTACTGCCTCTCTATTTTTAGGGAGTATTTGCCATATAATCGCCACACTTAGGATGTGGATTGACGTTCGCAGCAATGGACCTTTCATTCAACTCCTCATCACTGGTTTGGCCATTTTATTTCTGGCATATAAGGATTAGAAATACTGACAAGAAGTCATGAGATTTTATTGTATTTTCCATGGTCGCTTTTTACTACACCCACGGGACAAAATGAGGTGATGGATCCCATTACGCCGCCTTTAGTTACGGGTAGGCTTATCTTTGCATCAGAGACGGTTTTGAAAATGTAATAAAACACTTACCACTCTAGTCTTGCCAGCAAACGGATCCTTGCAGGTCGGGTCTGACTGGGAGTTGCATTGGAAACAGCGCAGACAAGATCCTGAAATATAGAAATAAATGTGAAATATTACCTAATTTAGGTTTTTGCCTAATTTTGGGGAACCCTAATACGTAAACTAATCCTTGAAGCTATCAAGATTACGCATGGACTATAAATCTTTACCCATACAGTATTATCAAAGTTTCGATAATGCGGATGACAAGTTCGAGCTGGTGTTTCAATATTACGTTTATTATAAGTTAGGTTATCCACTCCATGACACAATTTACGTCAACGGTTGACATTTTTTATACCGTTACCGATACAGTACGAGTACATCAAGCCCACTGTTGAACATGCTCGTAGATCACCACCTTAAGTATTTGCTATAGTTACTATTCTTGGCATGCGGTTTGGTGACCGCAGTTTATTTTATCTTTTAGTTGTTACTAAGAAGGCGCTGCTGCCCATCTCCCGGTTTGTTTCCCTATGTCGCTTCTAATGACAACACTGGGGTAGTGAATATTCTTACTCTATTACACGATTTGTTTTTCTTAATTTATGTCTCAACAAGCATTTTTACAATAGCTGACGGCATTATTCCGTAAAGAGTACATGTGAGTAAAAACTATATATGAACAAAAAAAACTAATATAATTTATTTGTTTCCATAAGAAGTTTTTACCATTAGCCGAGAATATTTGGAGCCACATTTATTTACTGAAAAATAAATGCCCTATATGTCTGAACTTTGATTTAGTAGACTTTTTTAACTTTGGTACAGTAAAATCATGTGCTCCGTGGAAACATTTGTAATTTCGTTTTTAACAATGGTATTTAGCAAACACACGAGTCAGAAGACAGAAGTGCTTTAGATTAATTAATACGTAATACTATTATTTCAAAATTATTTTAAACCACACTATAGCCAGAAAGTAAAAAAGATAAATTACATTTTTCTTAACATTTAAATTGTTTGGCTTATTCAAATTTAAAATGTAATAAAAGTCGTAGAACTCTTTCCACTGAAATTTGATTAATATTATACTTTGTTGATATCTTAGAAGTCGTAGTGTAGATGAGTTTTTAATCGATTTCGATTAGCAGTACATTTATAAGAGTGATTAATCTTTATAATTTTACGATTTAGGTTGAAATAATATCGACTAGTCATAGCTTATTCTATATGTAAGTGGAAGTTTTAGACAACTAATTAAATTTAAAAAAATAAACAGTTTTAGTATGACTGTAATATTGTATAAATAAAAATATTTGATCAAAATGTTTATTTACTAAAATACATAAACGCTCACGCCTGTCACCCAGACTTTCATTTGACACGGTCCTGACTCACATCATTTCACATTCGTATACGTAACGCATAGATACACACTAAGGCTACATACTCATGGGTTAGGGTTAATAAATTTTCAATTGATCGACAAACTTCAGTCTAGGGTCCTAGCCGTCTCTGCCACTCACTTCTGCAGCAATTTGCTTTGTTACTCTTTCCTCATTCATTCTTTATACACGATCATATTCAGAGTCATCCTTAACATAATTCTTAATGGCCGCATTTCTATTGCATCAATTTTACTCTCCTGCTTCTGCATCTATGGATCTACCACTCTCAAATTTCACTACCATACATTAAGGTAGGGGCAAACACAGCATTGTGAAATGCCAAAGAATTATATTTGTGATAGTATTAACGCGTGTATAATTTTAATCCATTCCAAAAAATATAAAAAAATATCTCAAGTATGAACGAACGAAAAATAACCGGCCAATTGCCAGTCGGACTCGCGCAGGAAGAGTTCCGTACCATCGTAATACACGTTTCTAGAAGGGGAGCCCCTTTTATTTTTAATTTATTTTAATTTTATGATTTGCTGTTATAGCGTCAACAGAACTACACATTCTGTGAAAATTTCAACTGTCTACCTATTACAGATTATAAGATACAGCCCGGTGACAGACAGATGGACGGCCGGACAGCGGTGGATTAGTAATAGGATCCCGTTGGTTATCCTTTGGGTACGGAACCATAAAAATATACCAAGGTGACAAAAATTACCTTATTTTACATTCTTCTTCACCACGAACACGAATGAATGCCATCGGTTATTTAGGTGGTGGCAGAAAGTTCGAATATTTATTATAATTTATGTCAAAGTATTATCAAAGTTAATTTTTTGACTTTTTTCAATATTTAGTATGATTCATTTTATTCTCGTAATAAATGTTGAGGGCATTTGCCGCTTTGATTTAATTTCCATTAGTAGCAAATAAAGAAGTTTCGTACAAATAGTTATGCATACATAAGTTAGGGAATAGATCAGAATATATATAATAATACATTGTGCTAAAGTCGGGAAAATTCATTATGAATACCAGTTACCGACAAACTCCCGTCTCCGAAAGTCATAAATATGTTTTAGATACTCTAATTTACTGGTTAAATTCACATTTGTTCTGTCCCAATTTTCTGCTTAGTCCATAATTGTAAGAACACATAGATTAGTCACTGCCGGTCACACTTGAGGTTGAGGACCAATTAGATTAATTTAAGTTCGTCTTATTGCTAGTAACATGTTGTGCTAGAAAAGTTACTGAGTGGCTTGTAAGTAAAGTGAGAATAGGCGTTAAATAATATTCTAAAATATAAAAAGAATGAATGAAGAAAGAGTGACAGAGGAAATTTATGTTGCAGAGGTGATATAGGTATCGACTAAATTGGCGATATATTGAAAATCGGCCAAATTAAGAGTACCCTTAACCGACGAACCTGTATGCGTAGGTATTTGGATGTGAAGGAAACGAGGTTGTGTGTCAGGACCGTGCCAAATGGAAGTCCATAGTCTCTACACACCCCTCTGGGTGACAGGCGTGAGTGTTTGTTTATATATATATATATGTGTAAAACTAGCAATTAAGAGCAAAATTTTAAACGGTCATTATTTTGATACCATTTCGAAACTATTTACATTAACATTAAAGTCAGAAACATGCTAAGGAAAATTTAATTTCCAAGAAAACAATTCAATTTTGAATTTAAGCCTAAGATATCTTTCAAGTCACTCTATACGAATTATTAACACTAGTAATGGCATATTACGAGTAAGGTATGTGAGAGCAATGTGGTCACCTTAAGCTTTGCCGCCCTATATAACCAATACTAGGAGGAAGACCAAAACTAATATATTTAAATAAAATAGCTAACAAACTTCGGCAATAAACGACAAAACACTTTAAACACTTCGAAAAATCAACTTAAAAAATCTAACGACACTACACAATAGAAAAATCGATTAAAATATTTACTATAATGTATCGCTAAAGCGGCACCCTTTTGACCTTTTATTTGATTGACTGATGAAGAGCTATCGTATCACAAAGCCATGTTGTATGCAAACAAGGCTGTAGTTTTTGTGTTATAAGAAAGTGATTACTATAGTATTCTTAGTAGTAGTAATAATAACAAGGATGTCCGTAGAAGAACAAGATTAACTGACATAGCCCAGCAGATCCGAAAGTCGCATCGGTTCGAGCATAATATAGCGCAAAGAACCGTCGTCCGAGCCGTCTCTAGATGTGAAATACACACGCAGTCGATGGATGTAGGATAACTGCTGAACATAGGCAGCAAGTTGTGATGGGCTGTAATGATGTGATGATATTATGATATATATGAATAATTTTATTAACTGTAATTTTTAATCAAATATTTCACTTAAATATATCATCGAGATAATTGAGTTGAATATATTTAAGGAAATATTTTGTGAAAATATAACTGTGACCGTGATATTTTGTTTTCTTTCCTTTAGAAAGTGATTTTGTGTTGACAACATTATTGAGGGCAATTCTTGCCATAAATAAAAACTAAATTATCAGAGCATAACTTTTACTAGGGCAAAGTTTCGTATTTTGAAATAGATTCCCCTGTTGAGAAAACAAACAATGTCGTTAGTTGGGTCAGAATTTATTCCAATGTTTTTACGGTGTAGATAAAGTTAATAGTGTCAGTATATTGATATAGACGTTTATTTGCTTTTGCTCTATTAAGCCTGATGTATTTTTTTTGTATTGAATAGGAATAAGTTAGAATGCTCCCGAAATATATAAGATGAAAATATAATAGGGCACGTTAAATGAAGAGCGCAAAACGACCTTTACATGAATTTATTTACATGATATTAAGTTGGTAAAATGAAGTCTTTAAAATGTAGTTTTGCTATAACAACCAATAATTCGCTAGGAAAAATATCCCATATATGCAGAAAATAGTAATTTCGTCCTTTAGCGTATAAAAAATCGCCACTCCTATTTGTCTATTAAAGGTAGATGGCAGCGTCCAGTCAAGTAGTTGATTGTGATTTATCAACCTAAATATATAGTACATATTATAAAAACTGTTCGCAGTTAAAAGATCGTAGAAACTATGCTGTTCTCGAAGTCAAATACATATTTTAAGACTCGTTCAAACGGAACACTCAAACTCTAATCACACTCTTAATCTATAGCTAGAATAGAATGAAATATTTTTATTTAATATAGATTACATATCAATTTTTATGCTGATATATCAGCACACGTCCGTAGTAAAAAGGCGATTGCGTAAAATCAAACTTCCAGTATGTCGTAAAACTTCTGCTGCAAAGAGCAGCTGACAAAGCGACAATCACAAACACATCGCCATTGAAACTACATGTATGTGTGAGTTAAGATCCAACAGCAAGACTAACCCGACAATATTCCTATGATATACCGGACTCCTATAGAAGGATATGTACTCCTAATAGAAGGATGAAATTTATTTAAAGAAGTTTAGGCCAATTTAATGTCAAAAACAGTAATAGATATAATAGAAAAGAAATCGGAATAAAAGGTATGAAAACATAGAATTACGCCACAGTTAAAAACATGAATAAAGTAACAACATTAAGCCCGGCTAAAACATTGCGTCATGAATGTTACGCAAGGTGCACACGTTGACTTTAATGATGTCAAGATTGTAATTTAACCCATAACAGGCCCTACGGATACGTAGACTTTTG